AGGAAGATCCCCTGCCCCCCCCCTCAGCCATGTGGTTCTCCTGGGGAGTCCTGCTGACCTCCGGCATCGGAGAAGGTGCGTCACAGCCCACAGTGGGACCGCTCTGCCCTGCAGCACTGTCCCTGAGCTGGGGGGCACACGGTGGGCTGGCGGAGAAGCCCATGCCCTCTTCCACTGCCTCCTTTCTGTGGCAGGGCTGATCCCCTGGAGGGACCTCATCCCCTGAGCCTTCCCTGAAGCAGCCTGGTAGGACGTTCAGTGTGATGCTGGGGGTGGCACGTCTGTGACACTGTTGCAGACCATCCTGCCACCCCCCACCATCAGTGACGGGAAACAGGTCCTTCTTGGGCTGCTTCTCCTGGCCAGGGTTACCCATCCACTCGGGGTGAGACACATCATGCACTAGAAGGAGATGGGTTTTTCTTGGTTTGGGCAACGCAGAAGCTGCTTGCACGGCTGTTGGCAGAGCAGCTAGATGGTGCACATCTGCCGTCGGTCTCATGTGGGATGGACATGGCTTTGGCAACCAAGTCAAGCCCTTGTGCCAGTCTGATCTCGCCTCTCTCCCTCCAGGTGCTCCCCGGAGTTTCTCTGCCCGTATTCTTGGCATGGTGTGGGCTGGCTTTGCTATGATCATTGTGGCTTCCTACACTGCCAACCTGGCAGCCTTCCTGGTGTTAGACCGTCCTGAGGAGAGAATTACGGGCATTAATGACCCCCGGGTAATGACCCCTCGCTTACTCTTCCCTTCCCTGTCCACCTCTGTGCAGAGGTGCAGGAGATGCCTGCAGTGGGCATCTCCTGGCTCATATAATGTGGCTTGTAGCACCCAGAGCCCTGCTTTAACATGGCTGTGGGCCTGTGCCAGGGGGGCAAGCCCTGGGTGGCTCTGCCTGGGGCTGTTGGTGGTGGGTCTGAGCCCCTGCACTGGGTGGGAATGGACAGACATGGGGAGGGATCAGCAAGAAAAAGCTGGTCCAGAAATAGCACGTACCCAGCCAAACTGCCTGCCAGTTCCTGGAGAGCCTGCACTATCCGAAGAGGAAACGATTCATTATGGATGAGTTATAACTAATGAAATTGTCCCTGCGGTGCAGTCAATACTCTCAGCACATACCAGCATGCCTCAAACCCATTTCCTGCTCTGGCAAGGACACAGCCACAGCTTATCAGCCCAGGCACGCAGGAATGTACCCCACAGCAGTGCCGACCCACAGCATCCTGCATCCCCTGCCCATGGCGCTGCCAGTCCCATGGCATCCACAGGCCTCCTGCATCCTCAGTGCCATGGTGTCCCTGTCCCATAGTGTCTGCTCCCTGCCACCGTGGTCCCAGAGCATCCACTACCCCATGGCATCTTCAGCTCTGCTGAGGAGATCAAGGTCTTCTCTGGGAAACAAGCCCCTGAAAGAGATGGGAAATTAGGAAACACAGCTTTGGGGGGTGAGCCAGTTGGGTTGATGAAGGACGGAAGAAATAGGAGCCCTGCCCTTGCCTTTCAGCTGCGCAACCCGTCCGATAAGTTCATCTACGCCACGGTGAAGCAGAGCTCGGTGGACATCTACTTCCGACGGCAGGTGGAGCTGAGCACCATGTACCGGCACATGGAGAAGCACAACTACGAGAGCGCTGCCGAAGCCATCCAGGCAGTGAGGGACAAGTGAGTGGGGCCAGTACCTTGCCTGGCCATGCTGGGAAGGGTGGCAGGGAGCTGCAGTTTGGTGGAGCAAGCAGGGCTGATGGAAACCTGGAGGGAAACGCAATCAAAGCATGGCTTAATGGGACCCGTCCGGTTGGTGCTGGGTGGGATCTCCCAGGTCCCAGTGCATACCACGACTCTGGATGGAGAGCACAAGGTCTGCGTGGGGAAAGGCACACTTGGAGCCCTGCCCCTGACCATGGGCTCACTTTCTGGCCTCTGCGCTTACTTCTGTGCAAGGTTGGGTGGCTTCAAATCCCATATAAACCCCCCATGCTCCTCCTCCAAAATTTTGCCAAGCCTTTTGCCTCCCAGCAGCACATACCCTGCTAAGAGGAGGGTGATGCCAATCGGTGCTTAAATTAGAGCTGGGAGCAGCCTTGCTGCTCCCGCGGTGGCTGCAGACAAGCTGGGCTGCCCAACCTTACCTGTCTGTCCTCTCTCGGTGTCCAGCAAGCTCCACGCCTTCATCTGGGACTCGGCAGTGCTGGAGTTCGAAGCCTCCCAGAAGTGTGACCTGGTGACGACGGGGGAGCTTTTCTTCCGCTCCGGCTTCGGGATCGGGATGCGCAAGGACAGCCCGTGGAAGCAGAACGTCTCCCTGGCCATCCTCAAGTCCGTACATGGCTGTCGGCATGGGGCTTGCCCCAAACGCTGCATGTCTTAGCACGCAAGTAGCCTGGTGCCAGTCGCTGCCACCCCCACCCTCCAAACTCTCTGCAGGGACAGGGGCTCTGGGGGCTGCCGTGTCACTCCTGACAAAGGGGACATGCCTGAGAGACCAGGGTGGTCAAACACGGCCCCAGCCCCGGCTCGTAGGGCTGAGGGAGCCGCATGGAGCTGGTGGGAGGTCAGAGCAGAGCAGGGAGCAGGAGCTGTGCTGAGCTGCAGGAGCGCAGGCAAAGCTGGCAGAGACCTGCCCTGGGGCCGTCCAGCACCAGGTCCTTGTGAGCAGGGCACGGGGCGCAGCAGCGGGCGGGGGTTCTGCCATTTCCCCACTTCTCCTTGCGAGCTCAGGCTGGCGACAGCATTGCGCTGCCCTGGCTTCATCTTCCAGGAGTGTTTCTTCCAACTGTGACTTTTCTTGTTAGGCAGAGATACATCAGCACCCCTGCTGAGTCCAACGAAGGCTTTTATACCAGCATTAACCTGCAGCATGGGTGCCACCAGTCAATCTGATACTATGGGTGAAAAGGGACTTCCTTGTATTAGTTTGGAAATGCCACACTCGTTGCAGACAGAAGAATACGGTGATGGAGCAACAGGCAGCTGGGAAGCAGCAGGTGGAGGGAGGGGAACGTGTGAGAGTAATTTTAGAGAGAAGGGGTCAGGAGCCACCAGGGTCCTGCCCAAGTTGTGGAGGCAAAAGGGGGAGACCCAAGGTTACACAGGGAGCCGTGGGACCCCGTCTCTGGGGTGGTCTTACCATGGGGGTGGGCGGCAGCGGGACAGATGGGATTTGGGACAAGGATGTGAAAAGCCTGGAGAGGCAGCAGGAGCCCTTGGTGTCCTCCTGGGAGAGGATGGGGAAGCCCAGGGCTACAGGCAGCCCAGGAAGGCGGTGGGGACGTGCCAGGAACAAGAGGGAGGAACGTGCAGGGGGACTTGAGGTGGGACCCGTGCTCTGTGCCCACCTCCAGCCCACTAGCAGTGGGCTCTGCAGGGACATGGTTTCCTTCCTCCCAAGATGTGACACCAAGCTGCTGGGGAGTCCCAGCCCTCGCCATGCGCACCAGGGAGCTGCCAGGCAGCAGTTTTGCCCCTGCCCTGATCTGGAGGGTGCTGGTGGCCACCAGAGTCAGGACTGGGGTCCGGCTTTGCCTGAGCTCCCAAGTGACACTGGCAGGGGGGGGGACCGTGCAGGAAGGGCACCGGGAGACATGGTTCACGTCAGCTCCCTGCAGCCTCTCTCCATGCAGGTCTCCAAGCCCTGCCTACAGCTTCTGGCTCCATCCCTCTCCTTGGGAACCGAGCTGACCCACGGCTCTTTTTGGCAGCAGCCGGCCGGCTCTCCAGCTCCCAAACACAGGGCAGTGGCTCCAGGCAGCTGTGGGTGCCCGCTTGCCCCCGCTGCACCGTGCACGGGGCTCTGCACTGAACACGCGCAGCACAGACACCAAATCACAGAATCACTGCTGCAGACAGGCCACGCGCGCTCCCTCCACACAAAAGCCATACGTGCACATGCGTGTGCGCACACGCGCAGTCAGCCAGGCGTGCACACCGTCACCGGTTCGTGTGTTTGTAGGCTGCAGGCGAGTGCAGAGTCCTAGGATGGAGGGCACGAAGGCACAAAGATCGTGTGGCCCAGCTGCCTGCGGCTGGTCTCCCGTGACTACTCTGTCCTGTCTCCTTGTGCTTTCAGGTCCCACGAGAACGGCTTCATGGAGGATTTGGACAAGACTTGGGTGAGGTATCAGGAGTGTGATTCCCGTAGCAATGCCCCAGCAACACTCACCTTTGAAAATATGGCAGGTTTGTTCTGCAAAACTCTTTCTTCCTCTTTGCTGGGTAGCCTGCTTTCGCTCAAGACATTCTCCTCTCCGGGGCTCTCCGCTCGGGCCAAAGCTCTGCTTCTTCTGGGTTTGTGCTTTCCTAGTGCTGGGAGGCTGCTGTGCTGGGCTCCAACCCCACCTTGTCCAAAACAGCTCTGTGAAGCTTCCCCCACCTTCCCCGGGGTGGCTTTCTCATCGGTGGGGCTGTCCTGCTTTGAACATTGCTCCCCTCCCTCTGCTCTGGCCAAACTGCAGCTGTCACCGTCATATCAGAGCTGTCGCCAAGGCAAAGGGGGGGGAGCAGCACCTCGGGGGAGGCGAGAGAAGCAAGCAAGGACCCTGCTGCAGGAGGGAGCTGCTGGCGAGGGGCAGCCCCCAGCGCCGAGGAGCGCGTCCCAGCTGGCCCTGGGGAGCAGGCCGGGGCAGGGGGG